ACTCACAACAATCTCCCCAGCGTCCTCCCGCGAGAGATGACCGGAGCCCATATCCTCCTCCAGAACCCGCGAGGCAGCAGTATCCAGACCCAAGGGCGGCTCATCCATATCCCCCTCCACAGGCATGGCCAAGTCAGCATGGGGCTTATCCTCACTACCCAGTAAGTCGCTTCTTTCCAAGTCGAGTTGAGATATGTTCAGCTGACAATCGGTAAACAAAAGGACCCTGCGCATCCAGCATACGCATATCCCCCAAGGCCTGATCTGGGACAGCCCCCACCACCCATGCAACCGGATGCGTACCGCCTTCCACCAGTGTATGCGCATCCCCACGCAGGCTACTATGCTCCTCCCTACCCCCCGCCTGCTCCAGCTGCTGCGCCGCGACAACGTACCGCCATAGCCTGCAAGTACTGCCGGAAGAGAAAGGTATGCATGATATCTCTCGGCGCGAAGATAGTTGAGGGACATGCACTAATGTCAGATTAGATTCGGTGCTCAGGCTATGACAGTTCTCCGGATGGCCGCTGTCAAAACTGTGTGCGGTTCAACCAGCAGTGCTTGTTCCATCCCGTCTCGTCTCAGGCTGCCTTTGTCCCCGCCAATGCGGTTTATGGACCCAATGCCGCGCGGGCTCCCATCGCAGGTCAACCTGATGGTCGAGCCGGCCAAAATGGACACCATTATCCCCGGGAGGGTGACCCGCCGCCAATGCTCTATGGTGCCCACGGCCAACCTCTAGGACCCGCTGGACCTCATGGCCAACCCCAGTACAACTATCCACCGCCACCGCCACCTGGTTATTCTCCTGCGCCTTACCCCTACTCGTATCCTCCTGCTGGACCATCGTATGACGCACATGGGCAGGCTCAAGCTGCTCAGCATGATGAACGTGTCAGTCTTAAACGTCCCCCTCCTGATGATGACCCCCACAATGAGAATTCTCATGCATCCCAGTCTCCCCATCCCAGCTCGCGTGCGCGCAACAGTACATATGAGTCACGCCAAAACAGCAGTGGTAGCTATGATTATGCGGATCATACTCCCGGTGCGCCTACCTCGCCGGCTACGTCGACCATGAGCTATCAATCCTTCCCTCAACAGCCGGCTCGCTATCCCAATGGCACTCAATCTCAAAAGGGCAACGTGTCTCCGTCTGGTCTGACGCCGCAGTCGGCGCAGAGCTACAATTCGCCCCATCAAGCGCCGACCTACGATGACGGCAGAACTCCGCCACCTAATCAACCTGGTTCGGCAGGCTCCTCTGCCAACGGTAGAAGTGGCATGAAGGTGCATGAGATGCTTGAACACACCCGGACTGCAGCTCCGGACCTACGAGGCAAGAACGACAACGAGATGCTGAGCAAGCTGGATGGCAAGAAATAATGACAGCTTGCTTGTGCTCTCCGTCCCGCCTTTTTCGTCCTCTCCTCACAGAGGCCCTGGGATTTTCCCGTAAGAACCCAGCGGGCCCTGTTTTCCTCCCACAGGAGTTGGCTCGGAGAGCATGCTCATCACCCCTGTTATCAACTCCATCGTGCAATGCGTGCACTTCGGGCTTTCAGGACGTTCGTCGGGTCTCAGCGACATCGGGTTACATGGATTTTTTTTTCGTTTTGCAAAACAATACACACCTCGGGGCGACCCACATCTCTTTATTTTCATCGTTATCGGTCTTTACTGGAATTTCGCCAGTGAATCGGACGGAAAGGGCTAAAATGGGATAAGATAAACCATTGGGTGGCTGTTTGATCAAGTTCTCTTTCTCTCGGAAGATCGCAAAGCTGTTACGACTTTTTTGCCCCTTGGCCCTCGGCTATCAGAGCCCGATTCACCTTTTGCGAACGTTGAACGAAATGCAACATTGGGTGGCTATGTGAATTTTTTTGTTTTTGACTTAATGCGCTACTGTACCTGGGAAGGCTGTCTGAATCCTTTTTGTTATTTTGTTTTTTTTCCAAGCAGAAAAGAAAACCAAACGCGCGTTGCAACCTTGTGTACTCATAGTACTTTTTCACCACCTCTCTCGGGTCATCGGACAGCGGCTCTGTTTGAAGCCGGTCCTTCTCAAGCTCTCTGATCAAGACGGGTTCTTCAACAAATTTCGATGAGATCAAACGAGGGTGGACAGAGTGAGCGGCGGAACAAATCTACTGACTGAACGGGTGAGATGGGCGTTTGGAGACACTGGAGTTGTTAATGGGCGAAGAGAAGAGGCAAGATGATTCTGTCTGGGCTTGGACTCTGTGGCATCGGCCGCAACAACTGGCAAGAAACACTCAGCACAGCCTGACGATCCGGAGATGTTTGAGCTCGGTGGGATTCTTGTTTTGTGCCGGCACACTGGGAAAGGACGGGATGGAACAATGGAGGTCTGTTGAGCTTTGTTTACTAGTGGTGCTAGTTTCTGAATGCTTATCACCTTTGTTTAGTTTCTGGTCAGAGTGTCTTTTTGTCAGCGAGTACGAGTAGTTCAGTCGGTCGGCTATGAGATCTGCCCAATCGCGTTTCCTACAGCGCTGAAAGGATGTGATCCCCTGGTCCCAGCTGGAACCAATCCGTAGCGGCGACTTGTGCGGGAGGAGATGTCTGGAACTATGGCGATCAAGGGCTGCCTGAGCAGTGGTCTTGGGGCAAAGGTATTGGACGTGCCGTGATTCCGTCATTCGCCATCCACAAATAGCGATGCAGAGAGGGATGGTGAAACCGAGTACTTTTCAAGGCATGCATGCATGTATGCACGACATTTATTTTTTCCCCATGAACCTTTTTTGTTCTGAGGAGCAGGAGGGGTTATCGGAAGGGGGATGGGGGAGGGTTTGCCTATCTATTATCATTACCCGATTTCCGAAGTTCCGGCTTCACGAACGACGGGAGGAAGGGAGGGAGGGAGGGTATGCGATGCGCGTATGCACGCGTGCATGCAGGCATGCATGGCATGGCATGCACTGGATATGCAGGTTCGGGAGGGGAAGGGGCGGTGCGCGGGACGAGACTTTTTTTTTTATTCAACCGTTTTTCCTTTGTTTTTGGCCTCTCTTCGGGCTGAGTTTTTTCCAGAGTTTGTGTTTTTGGTTTGGCCGCATTTCAGGTCGCATAACCGCATGGCCGCCACCGATACGATGCGATGCCGCGGCGGGCGGGCGCGCATGAACCCCCAATTTTTAGGTAATTGAACTTGACTTGCTCCGACCGACTGACCGACCGTCCAACCGACCGATTACCTTCCCGCCCGTCCCTTTTTGCCAATCTGCCCTGCATGCATTTTTAAGGTACCGCATCCCCTATCAGCTGCCAGTTTGCCAAGGGAGGATTGCAGATTCGATTGTCGATAAGCGGGGGGATGGGGGTGTGTGGGAGAGTAGGAGTATGACAGGTGACTCGGAACTTTTTTGATCCTGTTGGTATTTGTAGAGGGAGAACTTCTACTTGGTATTAGAGGACGATGGAACGGAATAGAGAGAGGAACCGCGCATGGGAGTTTAGTCTCAGCTGAGGGGTAGAAACAATCATAACACTGCCATGATGCTGACGATGGTTGATGGGGGGTGGGTGGGGGCAACTTTTGGGGGCCATTTGTCTGACTTTAACTGCCGTTTAGGTACCGTACCTATGTAGGGAGTGCTATAACTGGTACCTTTCTAGGTAGGCTTCCAGGTGCTTCTACTGTACCAATCCAGAGAGGTAGATGGTCTTCTAGCTGGCCTACTTGCCTACTTGCCTACTTGTCTACTTACCTAGCAGGCCTACATTTAACCTTACTTAGTCGGTACCTAAGGTACTATGTAATGGTGCCTAACTTTCTATCTATCGGTAGCCCACCCGGCAAAGATACCCTCTCACAATCCTGTACATTCACACATCCTCGTAACCATTTCAAACTGCGGCCACCCGCACAAGGCTGAAAATACCTATCAACCCCCTTTTCCGTGTCACCTGAATTGACTCACTCACTTGAGCAGCGTACGAGGTACTCGGGTACAGCACCCTCAACGCCTCATCATAATACGACAAAACACAAAACAACACAGTACAGTGTACACAACACCAAGGAAGACGCAATGGAAAACAAAAAGCAAAAAACCAAAAAAAACTAAAACTCCAATGAGAATGGGAATGGGAATGGAAGAGGGAACTCTTAGAGGTCAGTGTCAGCCCCTGGTGAGTGAATCGGTAGAGCTCTTTGCTATTGCTATCGCTAGCGCTATCGCCATTGACTACCTTGCTTTGCCATGTCATGCTATGCCATTGCTTGTCCTTGTCCACGCTCGCCATCCATGGACTCTGTGTTTCTTGCATGCACGCACCACGTTCTGTCTAGCTCCTCAGTCATGCCCGTAGTCAGAACCAGCACAGCGACTCGGTCTGTACCTTTTGCCCTCGAGTAAAGGCACTGTCCCAAGTCGTGTCCATGTTCAATGTCTCAATCTCCTGTGTTTTTCTTGATTTTTCGCTTTTCATTTTTTCGTGTGCGTGTGAGATCTTTTCTTTTTTCTTTTCCCACCCAGTCGCCCTTTTGCTCAAGGGGCCGAGTCGGGGGGTCTTTTTCGGTTCCTTGTTTTCCCTCTCAAGTAGGTACCAATCCTTCAGGTCTGGACAACAGGTCACTCGCTCGCTCGCTCATGGGGAATGGGGGACAGAGTCTTTTTCTTGGGTCTTGTTTCGTTTTCTGGTGTTTCTCTGTCGAGCACTTGTTCATCCATGATCCAGCCATCCATCTCCAAGTGCAAGCTAGCTCTTCTCGCGAGTCGCGACGCATCTGGCATCACGCGTTTCATACCCTCATAGCAAGTCGTCACCATCATTTTTCTCATCATCCTTGACATGAATTCGTTTCTGCCATCACACGACCAGTGCATCGCATCGCATTGTATTGCACTGTAGGCATTCTTGATCCACCATTGTTTTTCCGGAAAAGTTACATCTGATCATCTCTTTCTCACCATCGGTTTCACCTCTTGTTTCGAAGGGCTAGAGCGGTAACTGGCACCAAGTTGCTCTCAAGATTCGGGTTCTTCGTCAATCGTCTCATCAATGTGGAGCTGGAGGCGCTGGCCATGCAGGCGGTAACTGCGCTCGACAGCAGTGGTTTCGCTATTGGTGATGCGCTGAGGATATGGAGATCCGACAAGATGGGTGCCGAAGCCGGGCGTGGTGAGACGGCGAGGGCCTCGCTTGGGTGAGTAGTCAGTCTGAGGAACTGGCGAGTAACCTTCCCAGCCGGAACCGGGGCCACGATCCTCGGGGGGCCCACGGACCACCGCCATGTCTGGGCTGGACGACGCGTCCGAGTAGCGGGTGTAGTTTGGAGAAGAGTGAGGCGCCGCCACCCCCGACCTGCTGACGACCTCGTCATCCTCGTCATCTTCTTCGATAGGACCGATACCAGCCGAAGGCACACGACCCATGATGCGTCGCAAAGGAGAGCCCCTCGCAGTTGTTGGACTGTTGGTCGGAGTCATGACTGGACTACGCATAGCCGCACGCTCAGCTTGGGTTGTAGTTTCGCCAAAGAGACCATCCAAGAATTCGTCGATGCCGTCGGCACGGTTGGTGTTGGCGACACTGGCGTCAAGAGCAGAAGTGGGTTGCAAGGTTGCGAAGAAGTTTCCGTCGTCAGGAGAACGAATGGTAACACCGCGACGCTCACGATAGTTGTTGGGTCCTTGAAACAAGCTCGGCTGCTCAGCAGCGGCATCAGTTCGACCAAAAGCAACGTTCAGAGGCGGCCCAAAGATTGCTGCAGCAGGTTGAAGGCGGATTCCTCCACCAGCAGTGGTGGTGGTAGCTGGTTCTTTACCTTTGCCTTTGTTGTTATTGTTCCGAGCAGTGCTGATTCTCTGCGGAGAGGTAAAGTCACCGTTTCCCAAGCCTGCGCCGCCAAAGACAGTGCCGGTGCCCAAGGTAGAGTCCGAGTTGCTGGGATTATGACGATGTCGCTGCTTCCAACCCGCCGGGGGCTCGAATGCTGGAGACTCTGGATTGAACGGCTGCTTGAGAACAGTGCCCGAACGGGCGGTGCGCTGCTGAGGGAGCTCTCCGACAATCGTAGGACCAGGCCCATTGGTGGCGTTACTGTTGCTGATGCCGGCCAACTCAATGTTCTGCAAACCAGCTCCCAACCCCTGGGTCTCTGCATCATACGCACCCTGTCTGTGCATGGGGACTTGCTGATCTGACGGTGGAGCTTCACCAACCTGTCTGAGCACTTCGCGCATGGCCTTGAGTGCCTGCTCCGGATCGTCAATATTGTCGGCGTATTCTCCTTCTTCAATGCCGTCCTCTTCATAGAGAACATCGTCTGCATTCCACCCATCAGAAGAATACTGATCTTGACCGCTGAGGGAATTCGCGGTGGGGACGCCGGAACCAGATTCTTGACCATTGTTGCTGCTTCCAGTGCCAGTGAATGGATTGACAGGGTCGACATGAGCGGCACCAACGGTGAAGTCGTTGTTGAAGTGGCCTGTACCAGGATACTGCTGATGCACGGGTGTCGGTGGGTCAACGCCCATCTGGCCCATGTAAGCGTTCCAGCCAACCTTGATCATGTCGGCCATGATTCGCGTCTCCAACACGGAGAATTGTGCACGCTTCAGATCGAGACCGACCTCGGTAGGCATGAACAAGATATGGCCCTCCGAATCACGGACGACTTCGAGATATGGCTCGATGCCGATGAGTTTGCGGGTCTGCGACTCCATGACACCCATGCCGATGTTCAAGATTTCAAACCACATTCCAATGTCCTGGTCCGACAAATGGGTAGGGTGGACAGACAAGGTCTGAAATGGCCAGTAACGGGCATGCTTGCTGATGCGGAACCCACACGACAACGCCTGAGAGGACTCGACGATGTCTGCACGCTGGCGCTCGGAGAAGCCGGGGGCGTTGAGGCCGGCAAAGACGAAATCCATCAACAGTTTGTTGTCCAGACCGACTTCGCGAGGAATGCCTCTGGAAGAGTCGACTTTGACAATCAGCACGTCAAGTTGCTTCTTATACGCGTCGAACATGGCCATGACCTGACGGACGGTGTAGAGTCTGACGGAAAACCAAGGGAACTGGAGATGTCATGGTCAGAACAGGGTGTCTGTCTGGTGGGATGAATCAGTGCGAAATGGCTTACCTTGTACAAAGTACTGATCATACTCTCAAAGGTGCGTTGCATGCTCCGATTCGCGAATTGGGACTGCACAAAAGCTGTCAGTTTTTTAGTTTTTTTGACTCATTGCGGCAGTTCAACTTTTTGAAGACAGAGAAATAAGAAATTCTAAAAAAGGCTCACCCGCTGTGGATATTCAGCATGACGAACCATGCAGGTGAGTTCCTCGTTGGTCATGAAGCCCTTGTAACCCGACGAGAAGATGTCGCGGTTCGGCACCAACTTGGGGGAGCCATACTGCTCACTGTCAAAGTGGATGCACTTTGCGCGGGGGAACATGTCCTTCATCAACTCGCCCTGGTTACTCAAGAAAACCTCGACATTGCGCTGGCCAATCTTGGGGATGCGCATGAGCTTCAGCCCGAAGCCGTGTTCCCAATCTTGCTCGGCCGTGCGTGGCGCCGTGAGCTCGACGTAGCAATCCATCGTCTTTCCAGTCGAGCGTTCCATGATGATGTGGATTGGGTACCCGGACACGTGCGGCTCGATCAGGTGGTTCGAGGGGATGTACTTGCAGATGAACTGCTGCATCTCGGCGACGCTGATCGTGTAGGGGATCTGAGGGGGGCAACATGGGACATGGTGAGCACGAGTCCCATTTGCGAACGACTGATCCAAAAATGCATGCAGATGGAAGCTTTTGCAGAGGAGGACGAGGAGGAAGGGAAGAAGAACAAAAAGCCAGCCATCCCTGTGAGCCACCACAGGACTTGCTTGCCCCTTTTTTGCCCCAGAACAACACAGCACAGTACAAAGTGACAGGCAGGTGACGGATCACTCGACGAACGCGAAAGACACAAAATCAAAGAAAAAAGCAACAGCAAAGCACATATCAGAAGAATAGGAAACAAAACTCACATTCATGATCTTGAGCACACCATGACGGCGTGGCATCAGCAGCTGAGCTCGATCAGCAAACGGTGGCGGTGTATTTGGGTCAAAGGGTACTGCCGGATCCGTCATGATGCGAAGAGGAACAGGTTGACTCGCTGGCAACGGCGGTGGTGCTTGATAAACAACGCCTGCTGAGAAGGGGTCGTTGTTTGGGATGTAGAAATTTGGAACTGAGGGTGTCGGCATGGTCAGGATTGGTGTTGCAGGCATAGCCCCATTCATCCCAGCCATGGTCAACCCGTTCATGTTCATGCTGCCAACGCCAACACCGTGCTGCGGAGCAAGATGAATTCCTGGGTGGAAGTTGACAGGAGGAGGGGGAGGAGGCGCCAGTGGTCCGATCGAGGGGTATGGAATTCGCACATGGCCAGAGGACGCGTGGTAGCCATGATCATCGTCATTTGGCACCGAATCGAAGCCCGACTGGCCTTCCATGGTGACAGGTTCTCAAGAGTAACGTTAAACACACATGAAAGAGGGGATGAGCAAGAGGGCGAGTGAGGAAGAAGAAGAAGGAATGAATGAAGCGAGAAAAGAAAGGTGTTGAAGGAGATGTTTGAGGAAGAAGAAGAGCAAGTGAGGAAGATGTCGAGAGAAAAGGGGGCTTAGAAGATTCAAAACAACAAAACAAAAGGAGGTCGAATGCAAGAGTGAGAGAAGAGATTTCCTGGCCATAAATCAGATCGACTGCCCTGTTTCTAGTCCGCCGCAAAATATGGTGACAGGTCGAAGATGGTGAGTCGGTGTATTGATTCACGGCGAGCAAAAAGCCAAATTCTGGCCTCACTTGGCCGTCTCCCTATACAAATGAGAGACTCGCCTTGGCGCCTGCCACACCGCACAGTGTAAAACCCCAGGAGAAAGTCACTGGCTGTACGTCAGCAGTGTCGTTGGCTCGGATGGCCGCCAGTGGTAAAAGTCGTTGTCCATCGCTGCTCGCCGACCTGAGCATCGGCACAGGGAAGGACGAACAAACTGGGGGCCTTCAGACTCTCACCCGGTCTTTCAGAGGGATCCGTCTGGGTCTAGTCATCATAAAACCATTTCTGTAAGGTCAGCATATGGGAAAGAAGGTGGTTTCCGAACAATGAATATTGTATTCAACATCTCCAGAGACCAGAATGATCAGAACCATGACACTAGTCCAGCAGCTCATTGTTCATCATCGGATATTGCCCATCGTTATCGCTAATGCTGCTCCAAACACTCTGTGTGACTGAAATGTTGTTGGATCGTAGTCACATGATCTCAGGGGTCGTGGTCCATCTGCAGCCTTGTGGGCTCAGCCAGAATGGCTGTCCTTGCAATGAGACCCGCCAACACGACCACTTGAGCACGATCCGCGCTCTTGCGCTGTTATATTGTCGACTCTCAAACCTAGTCGAACTGCGGCCTGTCAATAATTGAGGAGTGGCTGACAACTCAAGGGGCTTACCGGAGTCAAGAATGATTCAGCCACAAAGCGAGCACGGGCGTTTAGCTGCACCCTGAATCAGTGTATGCCCGCAGACTGTAATTGGGCGTTTATGACTTACGAAGAGCTTCATCTCTGAAATTTCTTTGTCGACTTCCTCCATGAATTGGATAATGAAATCCACCAACTTATGCTTGAGCATTTCTTCCGTATGCGTGTTCGTGATCAAGAACGAGATATCGTAACCCTACAGCTTGTCAGGTCGCGATCTTTTGGTGACGCCAGTGCCACCCACCTTGACTGGCTTCCGTCGTAGAATGAAGAAGGATTCGGCACGCTGAGTAAGGAAACGTGTGAACTTATGGACCAGAATATTCTCAATCTCGTCGGCCTGCTTTATTCTGATGCTCACTCGCACACTGTTGACGCTGGGTTCTATCAGGACTTTCTCGTTCTCATTGCGGGCAATCGTCAGAGGGTTTAACAGGACTTCGGGCGAACTGGCTGCTTCGATCTCGGGGACATTGTGTCTTTCTGAGGCTTGTGAAGCGAAGTTGGAGAGAGAAAGAGCGGCGGTCAGAGAAGAACGGACACATTGAAGATACGGCCGCAGTGATTGGGACTGATCTCAATAGTCAGCAATTTCCACAAGCCAGATATCGAGTTGAGATGGAGCAGGCACACCATCTTCAATGCGCTCGCTCAATCGAGATTGGGAGCAGAGCCAAAAAAAATTCACCGGTACATGGACACTGGGTTGGATATGGAATCGAGACTGGTGTTCAGTGTGCTGTTTTGGTTCTTTGACATACAACTGGAGGATTGTTGCCTTTGGACTCAAGTTGAATGTCAAAGGGACTGTTTGGAGGGGAACTGCCCGCAAGATCCGTCATCCGCAGGCACGGCTGGTGTCTCTGCGCTCACCTGCGGCTGCGAGGCTTGGCACTGGCCTTGTTTGGCGGGGAGTGGGTGACGTGCTGTTTTGTGCCTGACGAGCCTTGCATCTTTCGCCGCCTTCTAACAATTTCCAAGCATTTTGTTTTCCTTCTACTTGTCCTTGCACTTTCTCGCATAAGACTTCTCGTCTCCTTCCCGCCTTTTGTCTTGCAGAATAGACTAGCACAAAGATGGCGACCATTCCTAGTAAGTTGTCCTGGGAATGTCCCGTAAACAAACCGCGGTTACTAACATCTCTCAGTTGTCATCAAGCACCAGGGCAAAAAGTACGATGTCGAGCTGGACCCCTCATCAAACGGGGAGATGCTCAAGCTCCAACTCTTCTCTCTCACCGGCGTCGAACCTGAGCGACAGTCGGTCCTGATCAAAGGCGGAAAGCTAAAAGACGATACTGAGCTATCCAAGCTCAATGCGAAACCCGGCCAGATCTTCACCATGCTCGGTACCGCGTCTGGCGAGAGCAGTGCAGTCAACGCACCCGCTGAGAAACCGAAATTCGTTGAGGATATGACCGAGGCTGAAGCCGCCGCTCAAGAAGGTGCTATTCCAGCTGGCCTTCAGAATCTCGGCAACACGTGTTATCTGAACTCCACTCTGCAAGTTCTTCGGAGCATACCTGAAATGCAAGACTCCTTGCAGATATATAAAGCCGATAGGGCCACAGGCGTGAGCCTACAAGATCTGAGCCGTCTCGGCCTTAGTGGTATCAGCTCAAACAACGACCTGACTGCGCAACTCCGAGATCTCTACAAACAAATGTCCAAGACGCAAGAAGGACTTCCGCCCTTGGCATTTCTAAACACTCTGCGTAATGTCTATCCTCAGTTTGCCCAGAAAGCAAAGAACGGGCAAGGATTCGCCCAGCAAGATGCCGAGGAGGCATGGTCACAGATAATTCACCAGTTGAGACAAAAGCTCAAGATCACGGATAAAAGCACCCAAGAACAAAAAGATATCGCATTCATTGATCGATACATGGCCGGTTCATTCCACTCCTCACTCGCACCGCCTCCAGAAGTTGGAGACAGCGAGCCAGTTGTCGAGTCAGACGACCCCTTCCTGAAATTGGACTGCCATATTGACCAGTCAATCAATCATTTACGAGACGGTATCCTGGCGGCTTTGACCGAAGACATCGAGAAGCACTCGCCGACACTGGATCGAGATGCCAAATACATCAAGACCTCTCGCATATCCCGGCTTCCCCAGTACCTGACCGTACACTTTGTTCGATTCTTCTGGCGGAGAGACATACAGAAGAAAACCAAGATCATGCGGAAAGTCACTTTTCCCGAAGAACTCGACATCGTCGAATTTTGCACAGATGATCTGAAGAAGCGGCTGATCCCTGTTCGTGACAAGGTTCGAGACATTCGCAAGGATGAGGTGGATGTCGAGAGGGCCAGGAAGCGACAGAAGCTGGCTCACAAGCAGGAGGAAGATAGAAAGCATGATGAAGCGATGAAGGGTGTAGAGGCTGCTCCTATTGCAAAACTCCGAGAACAAAAGGAGAAAGAGGAAGGCAAGAAAAAGGAGCAAGGTGGCGAAATGGATGTATACAAAACAGATGCAGAGTACGAGGCTGAACGAGCTGCATCCATCAAGCAAGCCAAAAAAGAACTTTACGCTCTCATCGATCCGGAGCTTGCAGCAGACGAAGGGTCGAACAAATCAGGATTGTACGAGCTCCGAGGCGTCATTACTCACCAAGGCGCAAGCGCCGACAGCGGCCATTACACCAGTTTTGTCAAGAAGCAAGGCAAGCTGGTAGATGATCCCAAAGCGCCTGGGGGCAAGCGCAGAGAAGAGGATGGCAAATGGTGGTGGTTCAATGACGACAAAGTCAGCGAAGTCGATTCGGACAGGATCATGTCTCTCTCTGGTGGCGGCGAGAGCGCTTCTGCACTCATTCTGCTTTACCGAGCCATCGATCTACCCACCTTGGATGAGATTGAAGAGTAGCTGGGAAAGTCATGGAAAGCCGCATTTTCTGGTTGCGAGCACCGATGTTGTATTAGCCTAAATCAACAACAGCGCATATTTAGACAATAGACTGCAAGCGCCGAGAGATAATGGACAACTTTTTCAGGGAATACCCTCCATGACCCAGTAAGCCATCGTTGATACTTTTGAAGTGACACCCGTGACAACCTACCAGAATATATTAACATTCCTGACTCACGTGCTTGGAAAACGCCTCTTACCTATTTAGGCTATTTCTTGGCGCCCACCAGTTGGAAACTTCAAATCCATCACCGTGGAACTGCGCCTTTGCCATCATTCATTCCATCAACGTCTACCCTTCAACCTGCGCTTGAAACCCTACAAACCATCCATCAGCTCTGTTGAAATCGACTCGCAATCATGGGTAAAGTTCACGGATCTCTCGCTCGTGCCGGCAAGGTCAAGTCTCAGACTCCCAAGGTGAGTAGCAATGAGCAACACTTCCTTCGACGCCGCAACGCCCCTCCGAGTCAAATTTCGTTGTTGCTGCAAGCTGTGCAATTGGCAGCAAATATCAGACTTTGAGACTGACAAAATTTCTGTGCAGGTTGAAAAACAAGAAAAGAAGAAGACGCCCAAGGGCCGCGCGAAGAAGAGAATCACATACACCAGACGGTTCGTTAACGTGACGATGACTGGTGGCAAGAGAAAGGTATGGATGCTATGGACACCGCAATGAGGATCGCCGCCAAAGAATGGGATGCTGATCGTTGATTTCCCAGATGAACCCCAACCCAACATCATAAACGCCAATCTCCTTACCCCGTGGTAGTCGACGCAAGCTGCCAGACGATGAAAACGATGACGCTGCCATGTGCAGTGCAGAAGTGATGTGGAAGAGGGTGCTGCAGTCTGCGAGGAAGCCAAAAACGATGGAGAGGGCAAAATGGGTGGCATATTGTCACCTTCGGAAGTTCTGAATTGCATCACGCGTGGATCAATGCATAGATTCCCTAGAGCCGAGAGCAAACTAACGCACCGGCTTGAAGATGGGATAGTTGGCCATGGTGCTGATCAACAAGAGGCGTTTTTGATATGGGCTGGTACATATCGACGAATTATCCAAATTCTTGTCTCGGACTCCATCTCCCTGTTCTCGCTTCCCCTTCGTCTCAAGCCGACACATTTCACTGCATGGGTGTTTACTGTGTTACCGCTTCCTCGAGCATAAGGTCATTGTGAAAATCCCGCAGAAGAGCATGGTGATTGCATGCCAGGACTGATTACTTACGCTTCACCATGTAACCCGTCACGGTATATCGTATTTAGAGAGCATACGATAAACTGTAAATGCTTAGGTATGCTCGAGAACTGCCCCAGGCTTTAAGACGGCCGCATGAGAATCGTAGGTCTCGCGTATTTCGACGTTGTCGATGGCTCCAGCAATCCTCGTCGCCAAGGACAAATGGGCGCAGATTCGCTGCTGTGCGACAACCACCAAATCTTTTTCCACTTGCCAATATACATAGACCTTTCCCACTGCTCCTTTTCCGAAGTCTGCTTGCTCGCCATAGAATAGTCTGGTCAATCAGCACAACTTCTGATTTTTTTTTCTTTTTCTCGGTCCTTGCCTCCTCTCTCAGATCTTTGCTCGCGCCTAGCTCCCTCGTGCGGGCGGGCAAGGAACGCCAAAAGCTCCTTCTGCCACGAACCCTCTTCCGATGCAGGCGCTTCGCCCTGTCCTGCTTCGTCGAGCAACGCGCGCATTTCCCACGAAGGGCATCGCTCGGCCCTCTCGCGCTGGCTGCTGGCTCAGTGGCCGCCGAGCCCAGCACGACCACCATGGCCCTCACAAAGAGTACTTCCAGACGCCCGGCCAGATGCCCGTCCCGGACTCGACACCCTACACGCCCGGTCAACCTTACACACCGCGGATCCAGACGATGACGACGCCCGAGTCGAGGGCTGGGGGCATCTCGCTCTTGACGAGCTTCAGCCGGTCCGTCTTATGGGCGGTCCTCTTCGCATCCTTGGGCGTCACGGCCGGCACGGCCTTGATCACATGGGAGTACCTCCAGCCGCCCTTCGAGCCCGGGTCGCCTGCCGAACAAGAACTCTACGACGAAATCCTCGACGCGATGGAACTCCACCCCTTGGTCGATTCGCTGCGGCAGGCCAATTGGATAGAAGATAATTACTACGCTGCGGCTCACGGTGGCAGTCTTGGAGGCGGCGGCGGATTCCAGAACAGAGGGTTACACCTCGTGGCCGAGACACTCCAGGGGACGCAAGGTGTGAGCATGAAGACATTCAAGCACCCGACTCAGGAATTCACCATCATGGTCTGCTTTCTGGGTTTCGGCGTCGAGGGTTGGCCGGATACAATTCATGGCGGGATGATTCTGACGATGATCGAGGAGGGCATTCAACGACAGATCCACAACTTCTACGACAATTATGGGAGTCAGGAACAGCAGAGCATCTCCATTGATTTCAAGAGACCGATGCGGCCTGGTGAAATATACGCCGTGGTCGTCCCTCCCGCCCAGTTGGAACCAGATTCGGAGACAATGAATCTCCAGCTGATGCCCATGGTCGTGAGGATCGAGGCTCCCCCGAGGATCACGCCTGAGTTGCTCACCATCGAGTTGCCGTCAATTGATGAATTGCATGCAGTGGCGAATGTCCAGGTCCGACTCGTGCCAAACAAGAATGAAGAGGGGTCAGCGGAGCTCGAGGGGGGTGCCGCCTCGAAAAACACCGACTGATTACATCGGAATCGAGGCAGCCCATCTCCTGTGTATTGAGGTTGTGGACAGCCATCAACTTCACACTTTCGACCAACAACACAAGCGTCACGGCGAAGATTTGACACTAGAACCCCAGGTAAGCGCTTGTTGTCTGCGCATCACGCCGATTGGACTCTGGGCTCATGATTTGGAACAGATTTTCCCGATCTTCAAAGTCAGCGAGGTGGCCAGAGCATCTGGAA